TGATGTTACTATTAGGCCGTCATACTTTTTCAACAGATATGTATACTTTTAGATTGAAATGTCATACTCTAAAAAACAACATAAACAAAAGTATGATATTTTATAATATATCGACCCTTTTTCAACTTATATGTATACTTTTAGATTGAAATGTCATACTCTAAAAAACAACATAAACAAAAGTATGATATTTTATAATATATCGACTTGTCCAACAGTTAGACCGTCTCATAAAGAAACAAAAAAAAATAGAGAGAAAGGTAAAAATGAAGCGATTGAAAAATAGGAGCACATGTGTCCTCCGACTAAGACCTAGCAAACTAATCCAAGGGCTTGTTATTTAAAAAAATGTGCAGAAAGCAAATACAAACAATATGTAAGGAAGATATTCCTTCCTTTGTCTTCTTACTAAGGAATTATAATCCCACAATGTCAAAGTGAAGGATGGAAGTTGAACTCTCTGTCATTGGCAGTATTCTTTTGGAACTTTTTCCAATCTTTTCATATGTTTATTATTAATTTATTACAATTAAATTACAATAACATGAAAACAAAGATCCATAGTATATGAGGTTATGGGGGCCCCCTCTCAGTTGTCAACTGCACTTTATTTTCTCTACTCAAGCTATTCTAATTTTTATTGAAGGGGCTAAGATATTTTGGGGGTAGTATTTATTGTAACTTGTTAGTGTGGCAATATTTTTTTATTTTTTTTCATGGTTTCTTTAATCTAAATCATAAAGTTTAATCCTGCACTTGTAACATTTTTCTAGTTTTGTGTGTTTTGACAATTGACAGCACTTAGTTTTCAATGATAATGTATTTGAGGTAACCTTACTTGCAAGTGTACTTTTGATGTCGTTAAAATATAGAAAAAATGCAAAAGTTTGAGAAAAAAAGAAAAATGTACAACTTGCATGTATGTGTTTTACTTTTTATAATCTAAAGTTTGTTTTTTCTTATTTTAATAAAATACAATCTAAAAGTTCATGAAATTTCATGATTTTGCAATATTAGGTGTATCATGACCACAAAATTATCCGTAAAACCACATATTTATATGGTTAAGATGTACTTGAAATTTCATGAACTTCATAATGCATTTTATTGAAAAAAATATTTTTAGGTTGTAAAAGCTAGAAACACGCATAATAGCGTGTAATATTTTTTACTTGAAAGCTTATGCATGGAGATTTTGACATGAATTATGCCTAAACAAGCTACATTGGTAGTCATGTTATGTGATATATCTACTTTATCCAGCCATCTTAAATGAAACTCCAATTGTAAGCTCTCCTTAAATGACATAGATAATTGTACTAACTTAACTACTTAAGTGTATCATTGGATAGTTGAACATAAGCCATCCAATTAGATACCTTCGATAATTATAATCATCACCAGAAAATACAACGATATTCTAGCTATGACTTTGACAATTGATATGCTCAACTTTGGGATACCCTTTTTGTCCTCAAATTAACTAAGTTGAGTTTGCATATATTACTATTATTTAGAACATGTTAAAAAGGAGGTAATGAGGAATTTGATAGGTGGTTACACAGACGACTCGATACAAGTACGACTCGACTATCTTTCTAAAACAAAGTCTCCCAACGGAACATGGAAAACACACGAATACACGAGTCACCAAACAACTAAGAAAAGGAATCATGCATTGCAATTCAAAATTGAAACAATAATGGCCAAAGTGTCCAATCTGGGTCTAGTCCTCCATGTACATACAGAAATCAATAAAACAGGTAATAAACCTAATGCTACTACAAACGAACAGATGAATTTTTATTATGCACTCTTACGAAGATTTACGAACCTAAATTTCACACGGAGTACATGTTACTTTTCAGGAAAATTGCAAATGTCGTATGATACACAACTACAAAGCAGCCAAATCGTGCTGGACCATCTCAAACTCGAGCACAAATACGTAAATTACAGGAAAGAATAACATTATGAGGAACTGGAACAAAGCTAAATAGCCCTTCCATATATATTTAATTTTCCCAATAATGACATCAATTGCCTAACATCAAAAGACATTAAACACCCTTTGCCTAATTGAAGGGGATCATCAAATAGCCCTCTTATCACATTTGACGAGATGCGAACAGCCTTCCATGAGTCGATCAATGTCCCAGTTAGTAAAAACTACTGGAGACTGCAGATCACCACAAGAAATATACAAAATAAATTTGAGAGCAATATTTTATAGCGATAAACATTGTACCCTGTCAGGTAGATTTCTGGGCATGGGCAATGCAAGAACATATCGTTGCATATGAGGATTATAAGTTGTTGCAGTTACTGATGCTGCCTCGGGAATGTCATTTTGTGACCGACCATGGAACCTTGCAAATCGGTTGATGACTGAAAACTTCTCGAGTTCTTGACATTCCACTCTCAAGTCCAATATTGATGTGTTCTTGTCCAGTCTGCAACTCAATATAATATATCTAATTTAAAAAAACTCATCACGATATAACACATTTCAAAAAGCAACGTGGAAGGACAACGCATTAAATACACATTAGCAAGTTCTACTAAATAAACGTTGTAGTGCTATCTACCGAGTGATTCGCGAGTGATAAGCAGGGTTTCTTACAAAAGCCACCGGAGAAGTGTAGCCAAATTATACGAAAAATATATTTAACTATCCTTCAAAAACTATAAATATTCTATTGGTAATGGTTTCGCTTATGCGAATTGCACCTCGAGAGGTGGTACAAAGGGCGCACATTTTGATGGGTAACCAGAATCCTCAAGGGGGTTTTTGCAACACTTGGTTATATGTAATTGGGAAGATACCTGGAGTGTTTGGCAATCAGGCTAAACAAATGCAGATACTCCAAATCAATATATTATATGCTCGTTCTTTCAATTACCAAATTGGCTAACCCTACATATATGATGCAGAGGAGGCCAAAAAGAAGGAAGAAAATTTCCAGACACAACGAAACAAGAAGATCAAGATAAGGTGCACAGAAATACCTTAAGAAATCGTTCTCTAGCTTCCCAGCTTTTCCCAACAACCCTTCAACGACTTTTGTGAAACGTGGATCGCCATTTAGTTTGCCCTTCATGGAGTGTCTAGAAGATAGTTCATTGAAAAAGGATAATTGTTTAGACTAAAAGAAAAACAAACGATGAACAAAAGAGATTCAAGAAGCATTCTGCATGAGGCAATCAATTCGGATATATCCAAGCAAGTTCTTACAGGTCCAGGCAATCACGGCGATCAACGTCAGCCGAGCAAGAAACAGCACTGCATGCATCCCCCAATGCAACCCTAGATGCACCATAGATCACACTCTCATGTGCAGAACTCGCATCAGCAGACAGAATACAAGCTGGTGGAGGGCGAAACAATTGCTGCATGAGTTGCGTTGTCAAGATAAGCCTTCTCTTTGATCTAAGCAGTGGGAATCCATCTTCATTTAATTCAGCATCATCCTGAACCTATCATTAGAAGAAAAAAAAAATGGATGCCTTTAACCCTGTAAACTAATGACCAATAAATAGAGAAACACGCCTAGCAAACCAATCATACCTTTTCAGTGAGACGATTTGTTGCCTTACTCCACTCGCCTTCTGTCGCACTGCAATCGGTAAAAGTTATGAAGATTAATATCATATTGCAGAAAATGCTACTAAGTCCCACTGAATCAAGTACAATTATTTTACATATGGTCGAAAAATGAGTGTCAAAATGAAGAAAACTGCAACATGACATAAACCAGGACTCGGGGTTATCTGCTAAAACCATGGTAGAGGCTAGTTCTGAGTGTCCACATGGTGTAGTCGATTTTACCAAAAATTATGGCCCTTAAAAAGAAGCTTTCTGATGGTATCATGCACAAAGGGTTGAAGGACATAATACATCTTCCAGTTCCAATCTCAATAGAAGCAGAATATTGAACCTATGTATTAAATGGTCATAAAAATTACCTGACAACCAAAAAATTTGGTGATCCATCTGATATTTCCTTTTGCCAAGGATGAAGTTCAGACGATGCAGTCTTGCGCTTTTGGGGTCTTAAAATCACCGGATGCTCACCAACTTGACAAGCACCAACTGAAGCAGCAGGACTATTCTCCTCTAAACTAGGAGCATCCATAATGTTTGAAGACTTAGCTACAGTAGATGATGGCTCATTTGGCCTAAGAGAGGTGACATTATGTGCATTATGTACATGGAACATCTGCCCATTTTTTAAGTGCCCATATTGGTTGAACCAGGATGGTGCCATCTGTGGGGCAACCTGATGATCCTCAGCCCTCACAGAAGTAGTACAACCAGAAGAAGGGTTATTCTGAGTAACGTCGAGACCAGAAAGCACAATATCCTGTGATGCAATATTTCCGTGTGGAGCAGTGTTCCTCTGCATCATATCAGGTGATGAAGAAAATCTGAACATCCTAGAATCTTCAGACGAAATTCGCGTACTTGAACCAATCATATCTCCAACATTATCTTCATTTTGCTGCCCTGCTTTGGGATGAAATTGCTGAACATCAAAAATATGATCAGGTCCTTTCATCCTCTTTGAGACCCTAGTGCTTGGATCAATCTGTGCATCTTTATCGACACTCGTTTGATTTAGCAACGCATAGTTTTTATTAGAGAGGGCATTAGGTTTTAGGGATCGACCGAAGGCTTCAATATCCTTCTGGGTTGAAGCAGAATCATCAGGAAACTCTTCCAAGTTATCCTTGGTGGAGGATGTTTTGCCCAGAGATTCTCCGACATTTGATGTTGAATCAATGTTCGCCACCTTTCCAGCGCTTTCCTTCAACCTATGTTCTTCCTCATCAACTACACCTTCAGTATTCGCATGAACTGAACCTAATCTAGATGAAAGATGGTCCCCTTTAATATCATGCAGATCAGCATGACTTGACTCCACAATATTTGGCTGGTGTGATGCTGAAAGGTGTGAAGAGGTCCTTGGGTACAGAGTGCCCAAAGAATGTTGAGATGAAGGATTATTGTTCCAAATGTTCTGCAAAATCTGTTGAGAATTTCTGGGCATACCGTAATGATGAGAACTGTGGATCTGATCCCTGGTTGAAGCCGTTGCAACAGTAACACTTTCTTGTTTATCAGAAGCACCGGTAATATATGAAGCAAGATTATGCTTTTGAATACTGCTAGAAGCATCAGGTGGTACAGTCTCTGCAGATCCTCTTTGTGAAGAATGTGAAGTATTACCGCTGAAAGAGGAATCAATTTGCTCATCCATAGCCATTTTTCCACTTCCTCTCATTATATGCTTATTTTGCAGTTGACTTCTTGCATATGGAGTGTCAAGTGCTAGTTGAGGCGACATGAACATAGAGTTTTCATCCCCAAGATTGCCTGGACCTGCAGCTCTGTCATTTTCATACTGAGATCCTTTATGAGAAAAAGGCAAAGATTGCACTGAAGATGCTTGGAGCATCTTGTCTCTCATTTCTGCACCAGCATGACTAGTATGCATGGAATTGACCATGTCCCGAGCATTTTGAGAAGGTAATGAAAGATCAGGAGCATGAACACGTTGTGATGGAGGGCCAAGTTGCAATCCAAAACCTTTGGAAACGGAAGAATGCTGGATGTGACCAGCAGACCCATCAGACTTCTCCGTTTCTTGTGGCTGAGATGATATGTTGCAATCAGAAGAACCTAAATGAGCCACAGCACCATCATTTCTCGACTGATCCACCTTATGAAGGAGCTCCAACATATTTTGACTGGATTTAGCAGGAAAAATAAAAAATCAAAAAGTCGCCGCACTTGGTAAAACTACAAAATAGGTAAAAATGACACGCCATAAGTACCTAGGTGAAGAGGTGTTGTTCAGCATGTTTGAATCAAGGGGCCGATTAAACGGAAAAGGTATTCTAGAGGCGCTGCCACGGGTAAGATCATTGCTACTCCCCCCTTTATTGTCTTTTCGGCGCTCACCCTGCCAATATAACAATTTTCATTATTACAAAGTTAATAGTAAATTTCTAACATCTGCAAAGATACCAAGTATAATTCATAATTCACCTCATCTGTTACAGCAGAATATCTTGAGACCTGACTTGTCTGACCAAAATGGTTATTCTGCAGGGAGCTGGACAGTGGCTGCAAAGGCTGCTTCAACCCAAAAGTAGGTTCCACATCCTCATCCAAATTTCCCATGGGATGGTACTGAAACTTGCGAGGAACAGAAACTTTACCAGCAAGCTGATTGGTTAACTTCTGTTTCCCAGGAGGCAAAGACCTGGAGTCGCATGCATCAGAGAATCCTGCTTCTCTGAGGCCACCAGAAGCATGCTGAGATAAGTTTGAGAGGTGGCTATCACTAGAATTCTCCTTCACAGGAAAATTGTCCATATCCAGTCTTCTAACTTCATCTTTGTTATTTCTATTTGACAAGTCCAACCCCTGATTGCTCCCCAAGCAGTCACTCCCCTGGAATTTGGCTTGAGGATATGCACTCTTCCACTGATTGAGCAAATTACTATTAGGAACAAATGAACTGTTTCCATCATAAACTCCCATGCTGCATGAGTTTGTTACAGAAGCAGTAGCATGATTTAAACTCAGAAGCCCTTTATCCACTAAGTGGTTTCCAACTTTAACAGGGCCAAAATCGATTGCAGAACTAGGAGAATTCGACTTCCATAAAGATTTTTCCTGTACATCTTGCATTGCCATCAACTGGTTGTTGTGTGACTTTTGTGGCAATTGAGCTTCATGATTTTTCACTGCATCTCCCCCAGGTGGTACGGTTGCCTGAGCATTCCAACAATTTCGTTCTAGTACAGTTCCAGTCTGCCCAGGGAACCAAGTAGCAGATACCTTCTCGGTAGTCCTCTCCACATTCAGGGAATGTTGCGAGGCATTTTCATATATCTGACTCCCTTCAGCAATTGATTTTGGCAGGGTATTGCGATTAGACCACTTGCTAGATCCATCCGATGACTGCCTTAATCTTTGAGATCTATCAGTCGACACTCTTATGCCTGGTTCCTGCTGGAACTTGTCCGGAAGTCTATTCGATCCCAAAGCATTACCAGTGTTTATATCCTCAGATGAACGAACTGAGCCAGAATTCACGGTTGAAGGGTTTCGCATTTCGTCTTCGGGCAAAGACGCTTTCTTTACGTAATCATTGTGCATCAAAGTGGGTTGCTTTGCGGAAGAACCATCATTACTATGAAAATTCAAACCACTCCACTCCTCTTGCGGACCTATATTGCCGCTAGATGTTTCTGCAACTGCAGACTGCATAAGAGCACTCCAGCTACCACTTTGAATGGACGGAAATCCATTAGATAAACCACCATTATCAAATAATTTGCCTGTAGTGTCTCCGCTCATATTAGGGCTCTTCCCGAAGGCAGCCCATATATTATCATCCGAACCAAACAAAATCTTCTCTTCTGTAGGATCTAGGGCAGCTTCACGCGGAGATGAAGAAAATTGCCGAGTAGATCTTTCATGTGAGGTCTCTGACTGAGCAGGTGGATCCTGCTTTCCAACAAAGTGCAGTTGTGATTCATTTCTAGGCATAGAATTCAATTGTTGGTGGAGTCCCCTATCAATAGTCCCTGTATTTAGCGATTGACTTGAAGCATGTCCAGTATTTTCATTTCGAAACTTCTGTCTAGAAATGGGAGTCGACTCTTGTACACTAATTCGATCAGATGAAAGATTATGTTGACTACTGTGAGGAGAATTGCTAAAGGCTTCCATCTGTGACATAGAAGACCTACTCGTCACCATCTGAGGATATTGGTTCGCTGCCAATCCCCTTGAAGAGGAAACAGGAACTCCATAAAGAGACTGATCAGCCTGTTGAGGAGCCAAATCCATTAAACGTTGTGCCTGGGCCATGTTTTGTGGAAAAGCAAGTCCATTGGGGGACCCTTGCATGGCTGAAGAACCATTCAGCCAACTTGTACCAGTCTCAGCTGTCCATGGATACTGAAAAGCATCAGGATTTGAATTGTCATTACCCATATTGGACTGACTGCCAGATGTCTGTTTGATAAAGGCCGGAACCGGATTGGTGAGATTTTGATGATCAAGCTGTTTAAGTTGCTGCTGCATTTGAAACTCTTGCATTTTCCTCATCATGATTTGTTGTTGCATTTGTTGCATATCATTGAGGCCAGTTTGTTGACGCTGTAATGCCTGCAGCATCCTTGCTTGCTGATGGTTCATCTGAGGCTGACCACCAAATAGATCAAGACTTACAGGAGCTACAGATGTGTCTGATCTGTCTGGAGCTTTTTCTTGTTCATGGCCACTCCCCTGATGTGTTTCCGGGAAAGATAAGCCTCTCGAGGATAGTAGATGACGCTGATTAGAGCCCGAATCCACTGCCAGAAAGTTTGCTCCATTCTGCCTATTCAGATGAAACTGGTTTCCATACGCAATGCCATTTGAATACTGCTGCTCAATTACGTACTGAGTTTTAGAAGAATCAGGTCTCAGATTTGATTGGGAAAAGTTCAAGCCATGAGGCACATGAACAGGATGGTTGGCCTGTCCTCTATCAATTTCTGCATATGTAACCACAAGTATCAAAAGAGCAACCAGTTTCAATTGAGAAGTACTATGAATTTTTTGTAATATGAAAGAAATTTGGAAATATTTTAAACTAAACATCTGCCAAAGTAAAAGCTATACCGGAATTTTGTGAAGAGTAGTTTTTACTGTTGGAGCTCAGTACATCAATCTGCCTCTGACTGCCAACCCAATAATTGCTGTTTAGCACAGGCCAGTTACCTTCCAGAACATTCGATTGATGCTGCCCTTGCGACAAATTGTCTTGCGCAAAGAAATTGTGAACCCTATCTCCAAGTTCGTTCCCAGGCATAGATGATTGAGACCCAAACTTCAGGTGATAAACTTAGGTGAAATTATTGCATAATCTTGAACTTCTTATCTTCGAGATCTATACAAGATAACAATGCCAGTAACCGTCAATTATCTGCCAACTTCTCAAACTGACAGGCCCCTGGATAAAAGCTGTTCAATAAAATCATTACCAAGAAAAACTAATGAGCAAACCAACACCCTAGTTAAAGTAACTAACATTGAAAAACAATTGAACAGACACATAGGTTACTTATGAAGGGACTGGTCCCATGATAACAACTAGTTAGAGAAAAGGAAAAGAGCAAGTACCACCAGGACTAGTTTAATGGCATAATTAGAAGATAGATGAATCAGAAGTGTATCTTGAATAAATATGAACAATTGTTAGGACCTAATACAGAAACTAAATGAGATGATTAACAATTGTAGAGAGTATCAGTTCTAAAGAAAACAAAAACAATTAAAGGTAGGTTGAAGGCACTGCAGAGCAACAGAAGAAATATACTTAACATAGATCTACACAAAAGCAAAATATTGAAGCTCCGTTATCCACAAAATATACCCACCTAAGTTCATATTGACATTTGAACCGGGAAGACGATTCTCAAATTTCAGATTGTAATCAACTTCGGTTTGGGATATCACATCCCCATTACACGATTATTTTTTATCAGTAAAATAGTTTCTATTATCATCAATTCTGAACCATGAGCATAATATACTGCTTTCTATTTCAGTCAACATTTGTGTTACGATGCGTTCCAAAACCACTGCCAAATCCTACTACAAGAAAAACAATAAGTAAATTCGACGATAAAAATATATCATCGGATCCCAATAGGATGGCATCCAACTTTTACCAACCATTTCATAGAGAATGTCTACTTATTAAGATGTGATACATAGATAATGGTGAAATCCATTGACCCAGAGGGGGTCAAATGTATATCATGACACTTCTATGGAATTCAAAGTGCTCCGAAGCCATCCTATTAAGGATGGTCAAACAATAAATACTTAAAATAGTCAATATCCATAAACATATCGACATTATGTTAGATATACCAACCAGCACTATCACTGTGCATGTATCGTTGTGGAATGTAGAAAGAATAATATAATGAAACACGGGGTCTTTCTCTTTAGTTGCCAATTGAAAAAGGTAAACGTCCACCCACAAATCCTAACGGCATTATACCCTCATTGATGAGCAACGCGGAGAACATGGAAATATGTGTGTGTAATAAGAGATAGAGAAAAAGAAGAAGACAAAGAAGAAAGTCTGGCAATTTTAATGATGAATAAAACATCATACATTTCAGCAGTTCCATTTACCCAAGCATAGGCACAAAGAGAGCTGAGTCAAGTTGCAAATACGAATACAGCTGGACATGAACCTACCTAAACTAAACAATGGTGATACATTTGAAATTTTTGGACACGCGGTTCAAGCTCAGAATCCTCAGAAATTAGTCAGACAATCCATCTCAAGTTCACGCCAAACTGCCAATTCATAATTAAAGATGCCTCCCCTCAAAATGCTCAGAATCAACCAGACCACTATCTTCCCTAACATCACCACACAGACAAAACAAGGCAACACATTTTCAGCAATGCCCTCCAATCAAGATCGATAATATATGCTCTATAAACGGCGTCTACACAGTAGCACAATAGAGTGAGCCGACAAATTGACTAGTACCCAAGCAAAACTGGAAATGGACATTTCACACACCTCAATCCCCAAAACCACCCTTAATTCGCACTATCCGCATGCGCCATCACCAAATACAGCTCCTCCAAAAACCCCTAATTCCATCCTACACTCAGTTACATACACACAAAAGCAGACAAGAACAAAGAACAAGTAGAAGAAGAAGATTAAACAAAAGAAGCAGACAAAGAAAGTAACTTGCATTAAAAATGGGAATTGTGTGGCTAACGAGAACTGGCGATAGTGATCGATCTTCAAATACGGAGAAATCTTGTTCTAGGGTTTTGAATCGGCGAGCAGAAATGCGCGGAGCTGTTAGTGAGATAAACAAAGAGCGCATTTGCTGTGCGAGATAAAATCTGTGCGAAATTTTCAACGAGATGGGTTAGGTTCGGGCCGAGGCTGAGGCTCCGGAGGTCCGAGGCAGGAGCTTTGCTTGATTGAGAGAAGTCCCATAAGGGGGCGAGGAACCAATAATTACGGTTCGCGTGGCTCGAAAACTGAGGTAGTATCCTTTTATCGGTTTATTATTATTATGACCAATAATAATAATAAAGACAATAATAATAATAACAATAATAATAATAATAATAATTTATATATAATTGCTAGTCAATCCATAAATAAAACATTTAATAGAACCTCAACCATTTTCTCGCCTAAATCAGTTATCTTTGACTTTTTTGCTTTTTATCAAATCTATTTATATAAAGAGGAGAAACAAAGCATTTAATTTTATTACCATGCATTAAATTTTATTCTCATATATTAAATTTTATTCTCCCTCCAAAATTTTTAGTATTCAATTTCATTTTTAAATTACAAAATAACTTGTTTGAATGTCATAAATTACGAGTATAAACCAATCAAAGAAATTACAAAATTGTACTCAAATTTTAAGTCACACTCACTCATGAAAATGGACGGGTGCATTAACATAAAGAAAATGGTTATAACTTATAACGGCTCTTCCATAGCAATTACTTGATCAAAACCAATTTTGAGAATTATTTTCTTAATTCATATTTTTTCATGAATTAAATTATGATTTATTTTTTGTTTTTTTTTTATATTTTTATATTTTTAAAGTATTCGTCTCTGTGCAAATGCACAGGTTAATTACTAGTTTCTTTAATATAATACTGTTACAATTCAGTTTTTACTTTACATTTTACCTTTAATTAATTTGTTTTTCAATAATAAATACATAATTAACCCAATAATCAATAAAATTTCATCAAGTGGAAAATTGATTCCCAAATAATATTTTAGATATTATTCTCAATACTTTATTGATACTTTGTATTTAGTAAACAAAAAAACACAAATAATAACTATACTAAAGCCCTCTCCGGCAAACATCCGGTCAACGCGACCAGCCAAAGAAAACGATTCAGCCCAAAACACAGGATCTAGAAACTCTCCTTATGGCTAACTAGATCCGGACCTACGGGCTGGAAGTCCCCCCAACAACCTCACCGACGAGCCAACAGCTCCCACCCCCGCCATGGCCACCATTTTTCCTATTTCTCGGCGAAAACACTAGGCGGAGCTGACAGATCTGACTTCCACCTGGAAAATCACGGCTTGCCCAGGCCGGCAAGGCCGGACGGCATCGAGGGGCAAAAGGACGCCGAGCGAACGAAAGGCACAAGTAGAAGCGACCGAGGGCTAGGTTAAGATTTGGGGAATTGTTATTATTTTTTTTACATGAATAAGACGACGCATTTTTAGCGCTTGGTCAAGTCTCAACGCTTGCGATTAGGGTTTCAGAAGCGAGTAGAGTAGCTCAAATGCTAAAGTAAGAATAAAAGAGCTCGTTGAAAAAGCATTCTTATGTAAGCAATCGCAATTGGTCGATGGAAGAAAAACGCGTATATTAAAAGTTTTCAGGAATTACAAAAATAAGATTACAAATTCAAGAGTCAAGATAAGTCAATTACAAGCATAAAAACAAAATACCTAAGGGACTATGAAGTCGAGTAAGTTCCATCGACCTGCTCGTGGGCTTCCTCGACCAGTGTTGCTTTCTTGCGGCCTCAAGGGCCGGCTCCCACCAAGAATGGTCTTTGGGAAGGTTGGGGTCGCCTTTCAAACCATTTGGGTTATACATCCCTTTGACCAATGCTCCGTCTCATTCACCAGTATACCCCGACATAATGCAGGTCATCAGAGCTCGAGGTCAGTGTTCGTTTGTGGTATTTCCGGCTCAAATCGATCTAAGGCGAATTTACGAAACTAGTAATAATTTAGTGCACAAGATATTTTTTCATCATTTAAAGTCAACTGTAGTTATTATATTAATTTTATAATATTTTTTTAATACATATATTATAATCTATCATTATATAAAAAGAATAACCATTTTACAAATTTAGAAACTTTTTCCCGCCAAAATCATTAAATATATCCTATATATAGTAATTGTTGGACAAATCTGAATAGGCAAAAAAATCCGCTCATTAATTGTGTAAAGATTTGTTTCTCTTTTTCCTGTTTCTTAGTTTATCGTTTTAACAACAAATATTTGTTTTTCTTTTTCCTATTTTTAGTATAAATCTACACGAGCTTATCTCTTCTGTTACAAAATCCCATTGCATACGATCTTAGGTGTTTAAAAAATCTCATCTCTTATCTATACAGATTTGAAAAATAAAATAAAATAGAAATCAATTCATAATTACTACTAGAATATCATTATCTTTAAAAAGAAAAAATAAAATAAAATAGAAACCAATTCATAATTACTACTAGAAATCCATTATCTACTTTAAGAAGCTAATTTTCATCGGTCTAATTACTAATATTTTTACAAATATTCTAAGCTAACCATACAAAAAAGTATAATGATAATTTTGAAATGGTGTGTAATCAAATTTTTTTATATTCTCTTATACAAAATCATTTTACATTGTTTGACCCCGAATCTTTAATTTATAATTATTAAGTATTGTTTATCCTCCTCTTTTATTTATAATTATTTTTTTTCTTCCTCTTTTTAAATACGATCAATAGTAGTTTTCACTTCCGCCATTAACTCAAACTTGAGGTCTATTTATAATATTGTTAATTTAATATTGTTCCCGTGCATCGCACGGGCTACACACTAGTTATAATGAACATGGCTAATCTGTAATTCCCCATTTCCCCTTTCCTGAGAAAGCAAAAGAAACCCTAATCCACAATTTTCTGGCGTTTTTACTTTTTAAATTGAACTCACCATCCTCAGCCCGAGCTCCATTCTCCGGGGACTTCAAATTTACGATCTCGTACAGTCTATAGCACGCGCCTAATTTCACGTGCAGGATGGTCGGGGAAGAGAAGAGGCATCAAATGATGCAGAATTTGTTCGGCGACCAGTCGGAAGAAGAGGAAGAGGAGGTCGAATCCGAACACGAGTCCAATCGTCGGCCTGATTATGCTTCCGTATGCATGATTTTTTTTTCTCCAATTTTCTGTTACTTGTACTCGTTTTTTCTACTGTAATTGCAGGTTGTTTATGGTGATGAGATATGCTTCTACACAAAATTTTTGAAACGTACTGGATCCACTGGGTTTATGATCCCGTTCATATTTGTTGGAAGGATTGGATTTTGAAATACTTTTACCATTTTTATGTATTTATCTTTAATTGTGAGGGTGTTGTTTTCTATGTAGTGAGCAATGACTTCATTTTTCCTCGACGAGGAATCAACCTCATTTGTGTTTATCTGATTCATTCTCCCCTTCCAATCGCAAGCTAAACTGGATTTGGAATTTAAAGTCACATTATAATTGCAGCACCAGCAGTTCAATGTAGTTTTGCATACATGATGAGTTCGGTAGGGTTGACGTTTGCAATTGCATGATCAGATCATTGACTCATAAATATTGCAGTGTGAAGAATTAGCCATTTCCCTGTTGTTGCATGCTGCCCAGCTTGTAAGCATGTGGCAACTCATGGATTTCATTCAAGAGGACTATTGTAACGTTTTGAGGATTGAGAGGTTTATGGCCCTTCATTTTTTTTCCCGACAAAAATGTGCATATGTCTGTATTGGGTACATACATATACTGTCTAGGGTTGCTGTATAAGTATTTCAAATTCATTGTGGCTAGTTTTTTTTATTTTTGATTACAACCATAAATTTGTAGGATGTGTGACAGGCTTCAAATGGGTATCATGAACTTACATAATTGACCCTGCTTTTACCTCCATTTTAGTTCTAATTCTCTTATGCTAACTATTTTTGGCAGGATGACGGGGATGGAGCACCAGAACCAGAAGATGAAGGTGAGGGAGAAGTAGCAATTGAAGATGAGGGTGAACCTCAGGACCTGCATCATATACATGGGGAGAGTGAGGGTGAGAGAGATCACAGTCCTCAAGAAGTTGAATTTGGGGATCAGAAGGAAGAAAGCGAAGGAAGGTACTTGGAAAGTGATGAAGAGGAGCATGAACGAGTTGTAACAAGCAGAGGGCATGATGAAGCTATCAGTGAATCAGAAGGTTCTGGGGAGAGCCGTTATGCTGCTGATGAGAATGACGAAGTTAATCATGCTAGGAGTCCCAGGTCGTTTGCTAATTCCCCCTCCTCTACATTTGAACCCCTAGGAGAAATTGATGTAGCTTGTTATCTTGCGTATTAAATTTGCATTCTCATATGTGAATGTCCATTACTGATGGATAACTATCAAAGCAGGAAAGTTTTGGTCTGTTAAATGTGAATCAATGGAGATATTTTATATTTGGCTTTGTTCATGAATGAGGTAGCTCAGAGAATATTCAGAAGCAAACGTGTGTAGATACGAGTTGACTGCTAGACGTGTCTGAATAAATAAATTGTCCATGCAAAATTCTGGATAGTATGTAGTCTGTAAGAAGGGTGTGCATAAATAAAGATATCCTGGATACGAAGCTTTGGTCGTTTTTTTATATACAAATTTACACTTTATATTTTCTCTCTATCATTTACTTCCATATCATTTTTCAAGTTTTATTGACTGGATGTAACGATTTGCAGTAAATCTCCTGCCCAAGAAAATGATGAAGATCAATATTTGAACTCAGCTCCAGAGATTCGTGATGTTTTTGGGGATTCTGAGGATGAAGAACAGGCTGCATATGAAACTCATAATGAGATTGAAGAAGATGAAAATGTTCATATAAAAATGTTATTGGAACAATAACAAATTTTTTAGCAATGTCGGTTGCCAGTGTTGTTTTATATGTAGTGTTGCTGAAATAATTGTCCCCCCTGATGCAGCAATCACCCATCAATGAAGACATGAATTATGAGAAAGAACTGAGGCCGGAGGATATTATTCCTGATGAAGATGCTCCATATTACTCTGAAGAAGATCAGACAATGGCTAAGCCTAAGGAGAAGCCAGTTGGTCCCCCATTGGAGTTGGAAGTACCGCTGCAGCCACCTCCAGCTGAATCTGAAAAGGTTTGTGTCCGGTTCTGTCTCCTTTTAAGCACCTATACATGAGTGGTTACTATTTAGTTGGGACAAAAACAATCAATTGGTCATTAATGTGCATTTTGGTTCAAATTAATTTGCAATTTACGCCGGATTCATATCATGAATGAGGTGTTTCTCATCCCTGGGAACGATTTAGTTGTGAGAATGCAGTGTAATTGGTTATGGTTTACCTATATATAAAATGTGCTGAACTGGATGCCGGATGGACACCTTTTATGGTGTCTGTATACGTTAAGGCTGCATTTTTGTTGGTGTTAGATAGAAATTATGTTTTTAGCTGGAAATAGGAGACATTATATAGTATAATCATCTGATTGTAGATATCATGATAGTAAAGTCATTTTATTGCAGATGAACATGATCAAAGTTTCTAATATAATGGGCATAGATCCTAAACCTTTCGACCCCCACAAGTATGTGGATAAGGATGTTTATGTGACTGACGAATCTGGATCAAAAAAGCGAATACGGCTGGACAACAATGTTGTTAGGTGGAGGAAGGTCAAAAACCCAAATGGCACAACATCTGTAAGTGAATCTGCTGATGCATTTTGCATCTCGTTTTCTCACACATCACATTGATATCCTTCCGTACTCAGATATGTGTTGATTGATTACCTAACCATTGTTGAATATTTCTTTGTGTGGTTCTGGATTTGTTTTTGACTGGTTATTTTATTTTAATGAGATTACTTATAAGATTGACCTGAAGGTTCCATATATGTCTACATTTTTTTTTTTTTTCGAAAAAAAAATCACATGTACATTTCATAGCTTGTTGAGTTTCCCATATAGAACACTGAAGAAAGTCACTTGTGACTGTTGAGCTTGTAAGTCTCCTATAGTAAATATTAAGTTTGCATACTGTAAGTTTTGGCACATTCATTAACATGATCTTTTACGTAAATTTCAGACAATTTATCGTTATTTGTTTGTTTCACATTTAAAATTTTAAGCACATAGCCACATATTCTCGTTTGGCAAACCTCATCATTCAAATGTTGCCATGTCTAGAATATCTTTGATGCCTCTATCTCATTGATTACTCCTGAGTGTCTGACTTTGCATTCTTTTGGGGGAATTGCTTATTCCCCAATGTACTGTAATTAAGGCAATATCCTTTGTGGAATTTCTAAATGTTTGGTTTGGTTGTTTTCTCATGTAAATTGGAACTTGTATCTAGATTCAGAGCAATGCTCGCTTCGTGGAGTGGTCAGATGGAAGCCTGCAGTTACTTATCGGAAATGAAGTGCTTGATATATCTAAGCAAGATGCTCAACATGAACAAACACACCTTTTTTTAAGTCATGGCAAGGTGAGGCTTTTGTTGTACTTGCTGTACAGCGCCATCCTTACAATGACCGTTTGCAATAATTATCTAGTGGGTGTTCAAGACCTGTGATGTTTAATCTTTGATTGAATGCATGTATTCTTATCAAGTATTATGGTCAAATTTTTGGCTGATAAGGAGTTTATATTCTTTTCCATCTTTACAGGGTATTCTCCAATCCCAGGGGCGGATTTTAACGAAAATGAGGTTTATGCCCTCCTCGTTGCTCTCAAATTCTCATCGTTTGCTAACTGCCCTTGTTGACTCGCGTCACAAAAAGGTTTACAAAGTCAAGAACTGCATCACTGAGATCGACCCTGAAATGGAGAAAGATAAAAGAGAGAAGGTAGTAATTAATATTAGTTATCAGTGTTTTGGCATTGTGTATAAGGTTAGGTGGACTCTCACCTTACATTTGTTGGCTTCATAGGCTGTTAATCAATCAATTAAAGCTAATGAACTTCTTAGCCGTAAGAAGGAGAAGGTAAATCGTAAGTATACGCAACCCATCCGCCGGGAGCGTCAGCTTTCGCCTGGTTTTCTAGAGGATGCTCTTGACGAGGTAAGATGGTCTTTCACTTCAATTTTCTTTCGAGGGGCCTCTCTCTCCCTCTCTCTTGCTCGTTTTTATCAAAATGTCTTGGTCTGTCGATATCTAGTTACCTTCACGCCCACATTAATATATCTATATATATAATAAATATGGAAAATAAGCATTATCATGTTACTTTCTGTTAGGACGATGAACAAGATTATTATGATTCTCGTCGGTCTTCTGGCCGCCGCCGTTTTGAGGAAGACTTAGAAAGGGAAGCTCGAGCTGAGAGGCGCATGATGAATGCAAAGAAGGCACGTCCTAACTGCATCACTTCTTTCGCCTCGCTTTGGTGAAATTGTCATTGATGCTTTGTATTCACAAATAATGGATTTGTTAACAGGGACATGGCCCTAAAGATGTCCATCGCAAGGTATCCCATCCGGCACCTAAATCATCACGACGGCCCGTAGAATTCTCAGAAAGTGAGAAGGAGGAATCCGAGTATGAAACTGAAGGGGAAGAAGATGAGGGTTCCCCACCACATCGGGGTGCTGAGGAAGCTGAAGAAGATTACGCTGAAGAAGATGAAGAACATGAACGAGGGGAAGAGAAAGAGACCTATGCAGAAACAGATGAAGAGGCTGAGGTAAGGGATACTGTAGCTGAACAGTTCTCCCTCTCTTCTTCTATGCATGGAGTCAATAGGATTCATAGATTATTGGTTGTTTAGGCTTTGTTAGATTATAAACTAGAAAAAAATCTATCTCAATCAAAATCTAATCTAAACTTTAACTCAACCCCACTATCTTCAATATTATCAATATAATTAAATAGTATCATTCAATCATTCTTACATATCACATCAACTTTAATTCACTGTTAATCCACTCACATAATTTTAACTATCTATCATTTCCAATAATTTATCTCCTACTTTTACATCAAATCAATTTTAATCATTTTATTTTAAATATTATTTTGATATATTCTTAAAATCCTACTAACAACTAACCATACTAACTATTTTCAGATAAACTCTAGTTAACACAAAAAAAAAAAAAAAAAAAAAAAAACAGTTTTTCTTTTATTAGTTTTTCTATAAACAAGCACAGCCTTAGTATGTATAACTCATCTCTCTGGATTCACATGAGATGACAATGCATTGAATGGTGAGTTACGTGTATGATTTGACATGTTAATCTTATTTCGAAATGGAGTCTTATTTTCCAATATAGGTGCTTTAGGTTCTCGACAATATGTTGGATATAAATGTTGTTTCTCAAATATATATATTAAGATTCAGTTTTGTAAAATGAGAGTTGAAATTTTGTTTTTAGCATTTGCGGGTCTAAATTCGTGATGTATGCCCCTTAAATATAAGACAATTTGAATCCAATACATCAAAGCTAATTTTGGAGTTATATTTGTTCAGCACTTGGCAGATTCCCATGCCACTTGTCTGGCCCTTTTCTATCACAACATCTTGTGTTGATTGGTTTGTATTTCTTTTTGTGGATAATTCATCTTTTCTTAATAAGCAAGTCACCTACTGTCCAAGGCTGTATTACGAATCTAATCTCCTCACGCTTGATCTTTATATCACTAATATTACTGTCGTATATCAGTACTGTTCCTTGTTGGACTAAATTTGTTATGTTTGATGAAGTCCACTCTTAAGTTTATCATGAATTCCAAAATGAAAATATATATAATAGATTGAAAAAAGAAAGCCATGGTGTGTGTTAATTTAATGTTTCTGTGTCAAAACCTCTAAATAACCGATTAGATTTTCAATCCACTGAATTGTATATGTTAATGTCATTTCTTGTGTCAATATAATTTACCAGGAACCCAAGCAGAGTGCCAGAGATTCGCGAGGCAGCCTCAAAAGGAAGAACATTGAGTCAGATGAGGACTCTCCTCCAAGGAAAGTTACAACTCATCGGCGGATGAAAATGGTTTACGAGAGTGACGATGAATAAGACAAGGTTGTTACTGTACGAGGAAGTAAGTTTTTGCCATAAAAATTCAGTATATTGAAACAGACATTTATTTTTCTCTTCAGCAAGCCTTTCCCTAACTTGCTTAACTATCTTAAAATTGTGCACATTGTGAGATTCCTTATCTATTTTATGAACCTTTGCTAGGCATATCTAGATATGCACACACATGATGCTGATATGTGTGTATCCATTCGTGTATATGTATGCTAATTGCATACCTGTCGGCATTTTAATGCAAAACACTTCATTTCATAAACTCATGGGACTTCAAACACATTGATTGTGACCTTGGATTTACTCAAATATTGCTCATAATCAAATGTATGTTTATCCTTTTCTGTTTGCGTGCAACTATGCGGTAGCTAGCTTTGGCTTTTTTACATCGAAAGGCTTTTTTCTTTTAAGTTACAATCTGAAGGCTTTCTCTGAATGTAAGTTGCTTTAAAGTCCGGTTCTGGTCGTATACTTTTTAGTTTCTTGCTCGATGATATAGTTCTTTCCATTCATATCAATCTCTCAAGTCGGCTAAAATTGTTTGGTAAAAATTATTTCGTTTAATATAATTGTAATTTGGAATTGATAGGAAAATCTGTAGCTGGCCATTAAAGTTGATGTGCGGGAAGAAACCTTTTGAAGCAAAAACCGAAGAGCAGGTGTAAGATCCCCAGCTGGCCATGCTAAACCTAAAAGCTGCGCAAGCCCCATCCATGTATACATCATATATTGTTATTATCTTATTTTATTTCATTTTATAATTTTGAAAAAAAAAAAAATCTATTGATTTCTTTGATAATTAAGTTTTGCTTAAATTCTGCTATTTATCATTCTGCAACCGTTCTCAATCAAAATGTGTGTTGGTTCATGGTATCAATTTTCCATTCTTCACTAGTACTATTTATTTTTGTTGCAAATATTACTTTCAATTTTTGATATGAAGTATAAAAATGGTCACATATACACCACGTAAACATTAAGACGTAGTTAAGATCTTGCAATTGCACACCTATCGGGTATATGTTAATTTTCTACCACATTATTAACTAAAGTTTTGCCCTGGTTGATCGGGCCTTGGTTGACTAGACCGGACCAAGTTTCACCGAGGATGATTGGACCTTAGTTAACTAGACCAATGGGGATTTCCCATATTGAGTTTTCATTTGGGTCGATGGGATTTCATGTTTAACCTGTTAGACTTGTTATGGTTGTGCAATGATGATCTAAGGATGTGAAATCCGCTCTCTACGATAAAATAATGTGTATGTTGAAGTTGGAATTGATATTGATATTTTAACTTTACGAACTACATGTATGAAACTTTTAACTATAACATTAGACATTAACATTAGACAAATACTACAATCACATGACATCAAATCAAATTTAAGTTGTGAAAGAGAAAAGATGTGTTTAAAGTGATTACTTGTGTTTAATTAGGGTAAATACGTTAATGTGATAGTGTCCATAGAAGTTGACCACTACTCCATATAAGGTTGATCACTGTTGGATCACACAAAAAATGGTTAAAAGTGACTCCACCGTGATCAACTCCGTATAATCACTACTAACACACGTGTTATCAAACTAATCGTTTAGTTAAATTGTTAATGTGATGGTCTAAGCATCGTTCCCAGATTGCAAACATAACATTTTCATGAATAAATGAATGAATTCGGGACCAAAAGTATGTTACATTACTAATCGGAAGTACCTATCACGATAATGCTTATGTTGATAAATCAATTTCTAAGTCTTGTGAGGCCAAATACGAGCTCAATGATCCAGGTAGGCATAATGTTTAGCCAATCATTCTTTTCTCAACAAACATGCATACGTTTCAATTGAAATTTTAGAACAAAATAAAATAAAAAATAACATTAACAAAAGTATGAAATTTCATAATATAAGGATACATTTTTATTATCAAAGTATGACTGATGCCGCCTCACATTAAGAAATTCTGTTATTATTTGATAGAAATTATTTGTGAGTATTTTTTAATAAATATCAATGATAAACCACGAAAATGATAATTTTACTTTATATTGGAAAATTTAAAAACAAATTATTCTTATTTTTATGTATAATTAAAGTGTATATATGTAATTTTTTTATTTTTTATTTTTTTATTTAAAGCTCAGGCCTTGTCGAACTTTTGTGATTAGGCCCATAAGCACTCCTTCCCCAAAGGATCACAAAAGGCCCAGATTATACCAAATAAATAATAAATAAATAAATAAAAGAGAGAAAAAAGAAAATAGAACACTAAAATGGAAGTAGTAGCTTCTACCTCAACCTTCGAAATTCCAGGCCTTTATTCTCGCTTATCAAAAGCGAACCTCTTCGTGGTATCGCCATTCAAGACTCAGCGCGCTCTTTGGGAAAACCCACGAACTCCTTCGCAACTCAGAAATCTTGTTGATATTCTACGAAACCCAATTGTATTTCTTGTTCCGCTTCCCTCGCTGTCTGTTCATAAAGGTATGCCTTTTGTGTGCGTTGTAAAGTGTGTTTCTTTTGTGTTTCATAAGGTTTTTTGTATATAATTATCTACTCGCAGTCGAAGATTGTGGTTGGTATGCATACTTTTGGTTATGTTCTTTTCCGACTTTTCGTGTTGTGTTTTTCGGATGCCCCTGTTTTGAAGGTTGAAACAGGGTAACCTGGTCGGCTTTCTTCTCTGTTTTATTTTTATTTGTTTGTTCTAGACTAATTGGGTCGATAAAAGTTTCGCTTTTTCTTGGCAGTTTTACTCAATTGTTTTTGTGAAGCCTGTTTTTGTGCTTTTGTTGAAGAGATGAATGCTTGTTTGTGGCGTTCTCGTTTTGGTTACCATATGATGATTTTTATACCTTGGCATTCTGGGTTTTTTTCTTGATTGTTGACGTTTAGAATCTTCATTTTGCATGTATGTTGTAATATTCTAAATAATTTCCATTTTGCGGGAGAAGAAGTTCTTGAGTATCCACGATGAAATCAGCTTGTTTTATTCAATGCTCTCGAATCTATTCCAATTTTCAAGAATTATTCGTCCTGCTCGCTTTTTAGGAGTGAAATTTTTTTTGTAGTATCTACCAGTTTTCTGTTTTACCATAGTTCCTTAAATTAGTTTTTGACTATCCACTTGTCTGATTATAGTTTTTTGATTTTTTACAATCCATCTTAATCCTAGTTTCCTCTCTTAAATCTGACTGTTACTGAATATCTTTCCACAGAAATCCCTCGAGTAAAAACAACTCCAATTTTCCAGTCATGAATCCCGGAAAATTCACCCACAAAACAAACGAATCCATTACAACAGCCCAGCAGCTGGCAATGTCTGCCGGCCAAGCGCAGTTCACCCCTATCCACTCCGCAGCCGCCCTTATCTCCGACCCCACCGGAATTTTCCGGCAGGCAGTCGCCGGAGCCGCCGCCTCCCTCGAACGCCTCATCAACAAAGCTCTCAGAAAACTCCCCTCCCAATCCCCTCCTCCCGACGAGATCCCCCCCAGCACTTCCCTCATAAAAGTTATCCACCGCGCGCAGTCCCACCAGAAGTCCCGTGGAGACTCCCACCTCGCCGTCGACCAGCTCATCCTCGGCCTTGTAGAAGATTCTCAAATCCAAGACCTTCTAAACGAGGCCGGCGTGACAATCTCCAAGGTTAAGGCAGAAGTCGAGAAGCTGAGGGGCAAAGATGGAAAAAAAATCGACAGCCCCACTGGCGACTCTACCTTCCAAGCTCTGAAAACCTACGGCCAAGATTTAGTCGAGCATGCCGGAAAGCTCGATCCAGTGATCGGCCGGGATGAAGAAATCCGGCGAGTTATCATAATTTTATCGAGAAGGACTAAGAACAATCCGGTTTTAATAGGCGAGCCAGGAGTCGGCAAAACTGCAGTTGTCGAGGGTTTAGCTCAGAGGATAGTTAATAAAGATGTCCCGAGCAATTTGTCCGATGTTCGGCTTATAGCCCTTGACATGGGAGCGTTGATTGCTGGCACTAAGTACAGAGGGGAGTTTGAGGAGAGGCTTAAAGCTGTGCTTAAGGAAGTTGAAGAAGCTGAGGGGAAAGTGATTTTGTTTATTGATGAGATTCATTTGGTGTTGGTGGCCGGGAGGACTGAAGGGTCTATCGATGCGGCTAATCTGTTTAAGCCGATGCTTGCGAGGGGTCAGCTGAGGTGTATTGGGGCTACGACTTTGAAGGAGTATAGGAAGTATGTGGAGAAAGATGCGGCTTTCGAGAGGCGTTTTCAGCAGGTTTATGTGGCTGAGCCGAGCGTTGTTGATACGATTAGTATATTGAGGGGTTTGAAGGAGAAATATGAAGGTCATCATGGTGTGAAGATTCAGGATCGTGCGCATATAGTCGCGGCTCGGCTTTCTTCTCGGTACATTACAGGTGTGTTCGTGTGCAGATACTAAGTTTTGCTTGGATATAAGATTTTTTTTTTTTTTTTTATTTTGTTTGGATTTTTCGGTTTGGTTTAAATAAATTTTGAAAAATGTGGNATTGTAGGGAGACATCTTCCGGACAAGGCTATTGACTTAGTTGATGAAGCGTGTGCTCACGTGAGAGTCCAGCTGGACAGTCAACCCGAGGAGATCGATAATCTCAAGAGGAAGAGGATTCATTTGGAGGTTGAGTTGCATGCTCTCGAGAAGGAGAAAGATAAGGCCAGTAAAGCTCGCCTAGTCGAAGTAAGTAACTTTTTCCCCATTTTAGCTGCATTTAATTAATTAGCCATTCCCCGACAATTTTGCGATGAAAACTTCAAACTTCAGGTTCGGAATGAAGTCGACGATCTGAGAGATAAACTGCAGCCACTCTTGATGAGATACAGAAAGGAAAAAGAAAGGATAGACGAGCTCAGGAGGCTAAAACAAAAACGAGACGAGCTTTTGTACGCCTTACAGGAAGCTGAAAGGCGATATGATCTTGCTCGAGCTGCAGACTTGAAATACGGAGCCATTCAAGAAGTCGAGGCCACAATTTCTAAACTCGAAGCCGGTGGAAATGAAAACGGGATGCTTACAGAGACTGTTGGGCCAGAACAGATTGCTGAGGTCGTGAGCCGTTGGACGGGAATACCCGTGACTCGTTTGGGTCAGAATGAAAAGGAGAGATTGATTGGAATGGCGGATAGGCTGCATAAGAGGGTGGTGGGCCAGGATAAGGCGGTGACTGCAGTGGCTGAGGCTGTTTTGAGAGGGCGGGCCGGGCTTGGAAGGGCCCGGCAGCCGACGGGCTCGTTTTTGTTTTTGGGCCCGACTGGAGTTGGGAAGACTGAGCTTGCAAAGGCTTTGGCTGAGCAGATGTTTGATGATGATAATCTTATGGTGAGGATTGATATGGGGGAGTATATGGAGCAGCACTCGGTGGCTCGATTGATTGGAGCTCCACCTGGGTAAGTTTTTTTTGAGGTCTTTTTACTAGGGCTGCTCATTCTGAAGATGTCAGTTTCAGTAACCGAATCGCAATAAATAATTAATTTTTTCAATAAATTCAGAATTTTTAACCGACCCAAAAATTTGATTTTTATCACCTTGTTCTCAATAAATTTCATATTCTCTCGGTCGAACCATGACTTAGACTATGATGAAGCCAAATCTGTGCTTGAACCGTTTTAGGGGTCGTTGAAGCTCGAAAATCATCAATCATTTGAAGCAAATTAATGCTTTAATAGCTTATATGTATAAATAAATATATATATATATATATATATATATTGGTTCAGTTAACCTGTTATCCAAACCGAATCGAAAATCGAAATTAAGAAAATGTAAACCGTAAGCCGAAATTCGGTAATATATTTTTCTTACTGTTAAATTTTGAAGTGTATTTTGACCTAATTACCAAAAGACTGGCTCTTTCAATTTTCAAACCAGCAAGAAGTCTCCATTTTTGTCTCACAACTGGCCGCCTAATTATCTTTTGTAATTTGTTGATGATGGTTTGGACTTTAGAGTGGCTTGAATAATGTTTGTAAATGTGTTTTCACAGTTATGTTGGGCACGAAGAAGGTGGGCAATTGACGGAGGCCGTGAGAAGGCGACCTTACAGTGTTGTTCTATTTGATGAGGTTGAAAAAGCACACCCATCGGTTTTCAACACTTTGCTGCAAGTTTTAGACGACGGGAGGTTGACCGATGGTCAAGGTCGAACAGTTGACTTCACGAATACCGTCATCATCATGACCTCAAATCTCGGGGCCGAGCATCTCTTAAGAGGATTGATGGGAAAGTGCACTATGGAGAGCGCTTGTGAGATGGTGATGCAAGAGGTACAATACATCTCCTTGTTTGATTTTTTCGATTTGTAAGTGGTAAAAATGTTTTTTTTCATTTTTTAATTAAATTTTTCTTATTCTCGGCTCAGGTGAGGAAGCATTTCAAGCCCGAGCTGCTCAACCGTTTGGACGAGATTGTTGTGTTTGATCCTTTATCTCACGAGCAGCTTCGAAAAGTTTGCCGTCTCCAGTTGAAAGATGTCGCTGTTCGATTGGCTGAGAGGGGTATTGCTTTGGGAGTTACTGAAAATGCACTCGATTTCATATTGGCCGAAAGCTATGACCCGGTAAGCTTATATGATTAAATCGGCAATAACTTGAGTTGTCTTATATATCAATGTGAAGTTATAATGTAGTTAGTTTTGGGTTGGATTGCATTTTTAGTCTTGCTGGTTTAATGTCATAGCAGTTTTTGTCGCCTTTTGGTCCTACTCAAATTGCAACAAATTCCAAAATTTATAGATTTTTTATTAGCAATTTAAGTTCTAAAATTTTGTTGCAATTTCTGTAATTTAACATTTAAAATTCAATTGCAATTTCAGTCCTCTAATTGCAGCAAAAAGCAAAAATTTAGAACTTTGAGATTAAAAATTACTATGACGGTAAATCAACAAGACTAAAACTGCAGTCTGCACTAAATTTGTTGAGTGAAATTGACATAAATACATATGTATATGCTGATTTTGGTGATTATCAATTTTATGGTTTTTTTAGGTTTATGGTGCACGGCCGATAAGGAGATGGCTGGAGAAGAGGGTAGTGACCGAGCTGTCTAAAATGCTCATTCGAGAAGAAATCGACGAGAACTCAACCGTATACATTGATACTTGTTTGGATGGAAAAGACTTGAATTATCGTGTGGAGAAGAACGGAGGGCTCGTAAATGCTGCAACCGGTGAAAGATCTGATGTTCTGATTCAGCTGCCAAATGGGCTGGGCCGTTCGGATGCTGCTCCGGCGGTGAAGAGAATGAAGATTGAAGAGATAGATGATGAGATGGATGAGTAAAATATAATTTCCTNTGGAAATATGGTGTAATTAGTGTTTGATTTTGGGGTTTCATTTTTTCAGACTATGGGACAAAAGTCCTTTTTGGGAATATTTTGGATACAGAGTTGGTCTGTTTTAAGTTTTTAACTCGGTCTTAGTTGGATAAAAGTGAGTTATTTTGGGATAATTTTAGATGGAGCATACTTCAATTCAATTCAATGTTTTAAATTCTGTGTCGGTGATCATACCAGACGAGCCATTGATACGCGGTTCAATCGATTCAATCGATTTTACCGTCTATTTTACTGGTTTTAATAAATATTAAATTAATTGGTATTAATATGAACTATTATATAATAATAGTAAAAAGCATATTATTTCATTTAATAAGGTGAATTAATACAACAACAACAACATAGTCTTTTAGTCCTAAGTCTCTTAGTCCCAATCAAGTTGGGGTAGGCTAGAGATGAAACCCAAGAGAACCAATGGTAAGAGAAACACAAAAATGGCTCAAAACGAAAGGAAGAGACTGGAGCAAAAGAGAAAGGAGCAAAAGTCACGGTTCTGGCACGTTGATTGCTAGCCTCCAAGCGCTCTTATCCACCGCTAAATCCTTGGAGATATTCTAATCTTTAAGGTCTCTCTTAACCGACTCTTTCCAAGTGAGTTTAGGCCGACTTCTACCTCTCTTTACATCATCGATCCGCTGTAGAACTCCCCTACGCACTGTGCATCAGGTGGCCTCCGTTGGACATGTCCTAGTATTCGAACTGTGCATTTGCACATTTATAAATAAAGTATTATGAGTTAATTGTATGCATATAATGATTAATGATTTTTCTTGCACTTTTTTGCATGCCAAATTTATAATTAAAGGAGCTGGAATACTTATTTTTTTAAATTGCATTTATCATATTGGATGAAATGTATATTTTGGTATGTATTTTTTTGTGAATTATTTATTATTTATTTAGGAATTACAAATACATTTTTTATTTTCCAAAAGAAGTTAATGTAAATGTAACCAGGGGCGGACGCAGGCTTGCAAAACTGAGGGGGCACAAATGTAAAAATAAAAAATGATATTTATTCTCTGAATGTTCTTATATATTAACTATTTCACTCATAATTACATAAATTCAAATCTCATTAAATATATCTTTTTCAAATACCAATATTTTTTTTTCTTTTGCATTGGATATTATTACAACATCAGCACTCGTGGACTTTTTTATAATAAAGATAAATATTTTATTAGTTAAAAAACCAATGACAAACACAATTTAGTAGCTAATTTTATACATATAATTATAATTTCAAGAACACCTAAAATTCAATATGTATCAAAATCAATGTTGACTTTTGTAGAAAATCGATGTAACTCATTTATATATGTTGCCTACAATATAATACAAATACAAAATACAAACAACTTAAATTTTTAAAAGATCTCTTTGTAATTATTTTATAATATAATTATATATCATATATGTACTCTTTTTTCTTAAATTGCACAGGGGCTCGTGCCCCTACTGGCCTCTGACTAGTTCCGCCAATGAATGTAACCACAACAATAACATCTAATCACGTTAAATAGTCAACACATTATATGGTCAGTTGTAAGTAAATCAAAAGTTTAAAATGATTTTTGTAATTTTGAAGTGATTTGTGTGTTGCATATCTAATAATTAAATGAGAGGTTAAATAAATAAAAAGTAACGGTTTTTGGAGGGAAAAAGTTATGTTGCCACATATATAATTTAATAGGTTTTATTAAATGCTCATGAGCCAGCAATTATATATATATATATATATATATATATATAGAGAGAGAGAGAGAGAGAGAGAGAGAGAGA